TACATTCCCTCCTCCTACCCTTCAGGAACATCTTCTTGCCAAGCATTTGGAAACTGGCAGGAACCTGTGAGTTGCTATAATAAATCACCTTCTGTCAAGGCGAGTTTCAAGATATCTGAGGCTGTGAGACTAACAAAACATGGAAAGGTGGCCTGGAGTCCCCTAAGATTAAACCAGTTCTTTCTCCTGGCATTTCTCTTAAAGGGCCGTCTCACTGGAACACATGTAACTTTGGTGAGATCCCTGGCCACATAAGGAAAGTTAACTGGCTCAAACGCTGTATTGTATTCCATTGGTGCAATGGTTGTTTCAGAAACATCCAGTCACAAAAACTAACTGCAATAAGTACTTGCCAGGGCCCAGGAGAGCAAGGCATTCACCCTTCGGCAGGACCTAAATATGAAGGCGCGAAGGTTGCAGGCCTTACAGATTCTGTGCTCATTCTCTATGTCAAAGTAAGAAGGGCATTCACTGCACTCTTCTGTCACCTGCAACATTAAGATGCATAGCTAGTACACAAGTAACAAGGAATTCGGGGGCAAGGACAGGCCATTTTCATTTTCTTGTGTTTTATTTCAGAACTCTAAAGGACTGTACACAAAACACCAGAAGGATAACATACTTCTACGGGTGCCCAAGTTCCCTGTCCCAGAGACATTTGCTATGTTGCAAGCTTTGTTTGCCCCATGCTTCCTGTTATAAGCATACTGTAAACAACCAAAACAAAGCCCAGCATGAAAGGTTTTCAATAGAATATTGAAATAATTCTCTTCTTCTTATCCCTCACATACAGTGTTTTGTAATAAATCTAAGAAGGCACCGTCTTATCTCAAAATTAATGAGAGCGCTTCAAAAACATTCTATCTAGGAAGAACATTTTGATATCTTCAGCAATAACTGGTTCAGTAAACTACATGAAATAGCATTTGTGGTTATTGTTTTTACATTTTTACAAATATTCTTCATATTAAAGTGTCACTATAATTTACAGATTCATTTATTACTTCATACAATATTTCATTGTTCCATAAAATATATACAGATATCATTCATTAAAAATGAAAATTCTTAAAAGATTATTAAGTATTTCAGATATTATGAGTCTTTGTAGTCCTATATTCCATAAAAATTAATGCTTGGGATTCAGCCAACTCGGGCAAATAAAGTCAATACAATGCTAAGGGATGGGATGGTAATGGTGTCCTTTATATATGTAAATGTCGTCATTGTGCCTTCCATGGATAATATGCTCATAGTTTTTTTTCCTAGAGATGGTCAATTAATGTTGACATACAAGTCACATACTTAAAATCTTTGTTTATATAATCAATAACAGGCTGTTCTGATAGGAAGGACTTGTTCTCAGTTCATCAAGCAGAGGAAAAGGCATGATAAGTAGGGTGCTTTCTCAAACTTCAGGCCATGAATTTGGAATCAACAGTGAACACTCTGTCAAGGTTAACCAGCCCACCCTCACCCTCACTCCACAACAGCAGTATCTGCAGCAGCTTAGTCTGGTACTTGAAAGAAAAGTGAATTTCAATACCACTCCTTACTATTTAAGAATGTCCAAATTACGCTTATTTTTTATGTGCATATGCTTGAAGATACATATGTGGGTATGTGAGTGTGTAGGCCAGAGGACAACAGATTGTGTCCTCCTCAGAAAGGCCATCCACCTCCTATGAGACAGGGTGTCTCACTGGCCTAGCCAGGCTAGTGTGACTGGCCAGCAAACATCAGGAACCCTCCCGCCTCCCCAGTACTGAGATTACAAGTGCATGCCACCACACCCTGTGTTTCTGAGTTGGCTTCTGAGGATCAAAATCAAATCTTTTTAGTCGGCAGTCTATTGATTTTTAGCCACGTCTCATCTGCCTTTTTAAGTATTTGAAGTTGAATTCAAGTTTGCTGGAATTTGTAGGGTTCCATTAATGAATTTTCCAGGCTGTAAAATGTTGTGTTTTATGCAATGCTACTGTAGTTCTGGAAGACTCTGGAGTTCATGTAAGACAGGAAATGCTCAGCATCAGGAAGATACTGAGGGAAAGTGTCTGTCAAGATTCTAGCCTGGTCTCCAGAGCCATGCTACCTTCTGCAAGCACTGCCCACCAGCACTAAGACAAGAAGAGTTTGCAACAGTTGGATTAATTCAGCAGGCCAGTCCTGGTCAAACACATCTTTCTGAATTCCACATGAACAAACATCAATGGCATCAATGTTTTCACTCTTATTGGCTATTCTGTGGTATGAGACAGTGTGAGAGAGTGCCCTATTTCTAGAACAAACTTTCTTGCATAAGTTTGCCTCTCATGAACTTCAACATGTGGAAATGTGTCAGTTCTCTTGGTATTGGTTGCTATTCCACCATACATTTCAACAAATTATACACATGTATACAATTTATATTTTTTCATCATTTTATCATATTTTGCAGTCTATGAAAGGAAAAAAGGTTATTTTGTTTTATTTATTGTATTTTTGTGTGTACATGTGCATGCTTTGCCTGCTCACTTAAGCCAGGAAATCACAGGGCAATTGCCACACAGGATATAATCATGGCAAAGGACCATTGCATTCCGAAATAATGGTGAGACATTCCCTAAGCAAGTGGTTGTCAGCCTGTGGGCCACAATCCCTTGGGCAAACCTCTGTCTCTGAAATTACTTACATTACAATTCATGTTGGTAGGAAAACTACAGTTATGAAATAGCAACAAAAACAATGTTACGGCTGGGACATCACCTCCACATGAGGAACCGTATTAAAGGGCCACAGCATCAGGGAGGTTGAGAACCACAGTTCTAAGCCTCACAGAACTTTAGGTACCCAACACATACAAGGAAATAACAGAGCTGATCATTTGAACAGAGGCTAAGAGATAAAGGCAGAGAATTCTGAAATTCTTAGAAATATGTGTTTCTACTCTGCTGCTCCTGGGTCCATGGTTGCTGGGTGACTATGGAAACAAGACCACTTCAGAATGATTGGGAGAAATATGCTCAGGATGGGGTGCTTCTGTCTGATAAACTGGGATCATGAGGTCACTTCCAAGACTTCGACTATAGTTTCTGCTTATCTCTGATGCCATGTGATGCATTATGAATTTGCCCACGCATTGTTGAAGTGGAGGAACAATTTTATTAAGTGCAATGACATTTCATAAAACACTGACAGACAGAGAGTCACACATGGGTGTAAATATGGTCATTGGCTCTCCAGGATCTCCTGGACTGGGAACTGCAGCAAACCTGCTGAGAGAGCCTGCCTACTCCTGCCCCTGACTCAGGGAAGAAGGCAAAAGGCAGACTACAGAGTGCAGAGGGCAGAGCTCCCACCCACCGGGAGTGGGAGTGCCTCAGACCCATCTGCACCCACCCTAAGACCCGTCAGTGAATTGGACCTGCTTGCTCCCACCAGAAGAGAACCTTGGACCTGTACTCATCGGGAAAGGAAGAAACCACACCTGTACCCACTGAAAGAAGGGATGGGAAGATGACAATACAAGAACAAATTCAAAGACAGAAAAACCAATATGACGCCACCAGAGTCTAGGGACTCTACACCACCAAGATCTGAACATCACAACACACATGAAACACAAGAGAATGACCTTAAAAACAACTTCATGAAGATGATAGAGACCCTAAAAGAAGAAATGAGAAAATCATTTAAATAAATGGAAAAAAAGACAAACCAAAAATTACAAGAAACAATTCAAACAGTACAAGGTTTGAAAGCTGAAATAGAGACAATAAAAAAAAAACACAGTCTGAAGGAATGATGGAATTAGAAAAGGTGAGTAAATGGTCAGGAACTACAGATGCAAGTATAATCAATAGAATACAGGAGTTAGAAGAGAGAAGATTCACTAGAAGAAATAGATTCATCAACAAAAAACTCCTAAGTCCAACAAATACCTAATACAAAATGTCCAGGAAATATGGGACACCATGAAAAGGTCAAATCTAAGAATAATAGGTATAGAAGAAGGTGAAGAAAACCACCTCTAATGGGCAGAAAACATATTCAACAAAATCATAGAAGAAAACTTTCCAAACCTAAAGAAAAACATGCCAATGAAAGTACAAGAAGCCTACAGAACACCAAATAGAGTGGACCACAAAAGGAAATCCCCTTACCACATAATAATACAATAACCAAACATACAGAATAAAGAAAGACTATTAAGAGCAGCAAAGGAAAAAGGCCAAGTAAAATACGAAGGCAAACCTATCAGAATCACAGCTTACTTCTCCATGGAAACTCTGAAAACCAAAAGGTCCTGGATAGATATTCTACCAACACTAAGAGACCATGGATGCCATCCCAGACTACTATACCCAGCTTTCAATCACTATAGACAGAGAAAACAAAGTATTCCATAACAAAACCAGATTTAAACAATACATGTCCACAAATCCAGCCCTACAGAAAGTATTGGAAGGAAAATTTCAATTTAAGGAAGGTAATTATGCTCACAAACCATAGGCAATAGATAATCCAACTTTACCAAAAGAAAAAAGAAAAAAGGGGTAAATCCACAAACAATAACACCACCACCAACAAATCAAAAACAAACAAGAATTAACACTCAATGGTCCTTAATCTCCCTCAATATTAATGGTCTTAATTTGCCTATAAAAAGACACAGGCTAACAGAATTGATATGAAGACAGAATCCATCCTTCTGCTGCATACAAGAAACACACCTCAACTTCAAAGACAGACATTACCTCAGAATAAAGGGTTGGGATAAGATTTTCCAATCAAATGGATCCAAGAAACAAGCTAGTGTACCTATCTTAGTATCGAACAAATTAGACTTCAAACTAAAATCAATTAAAACAGATAAGAAGGTCACTTCATACTCATCACAGGAAAAGTCCATCAGGATGAAGTATCATTTCTGAACATCTCTGCTCCAATACAAGGGTGTCCACATTCATTAAAGAAACATTACTAAAACTCAACTCACACATAAGACCTCACACGGACGCTCCCTGGTGGTCTAGTGGTTAGGATTTGGCGCTCTCACCGCCTCGGCCCCAGGTTCAATTCCCGGTCAGGGAAGCACTCTCTTCTTGCCGGGCGTTGGTGGCTCACGCCTTTAATCCCAGCACTCAGGAGGCAGAGGCAGGCGGATCTATGTGAGTTTGAGGCCAGCCTGGTCTACAGAGAGAGTTCCAGGACAGCCTCCAAAACAATACAGAGAAACCCTGTCTCGAAAAACCAAAAAAAAAACAAAAAAGACCTCACACGGTTATAGAGGGAGACATTAACACCCCTCTCTCACCACTAGACAGGACCACCAGACAGAAACTTAACAAAGAAACAAAGGAAATAACAGAAGTTATGACCCAATTGGGTTTAACAAACATCTGTAGAACATACCATCCAAACACAAAAGAATATACATTCTTCTCAGCACCAAATGGGACCTTCTCTAAAATCGGCCACATACTTGGCATCATAGCAAACCTCAACAGGTACAAAAAATTTTGAGTAACTCCATGTATCTTATTGGACCACCATGCTTTAAAGTTAGAATTCAATAACAACACAAATTGCAGAAACCCTACGAACTCATGGAAGTTGAACAACGCGCAATTGCACCACTCCTGGGTCACAGAAAAAATAAAAAAAAAAAGAAATTAAAGATTTCCTAGAATTCAACGAAAATGAAGACACAACATTATAGAACACTTTGAAGGCAGTACTAAGAGGAAAGTTCATAGCACTAAGTGCACTTAAGAAGAAACTGGAGAACAGTCACACTAGAGAATTAATAGCACAACTATAAGCTCTAGAACAAAACGAAGTAAACTCACCCAGGAGGAATAGACCCCAGGAAATAACCAAATTGAGGGCTGAAATCAATAAAGTTGAAACAAAGAAAATAATACAAAGAATCAATGTAACAAAGAGTTGGTTCTTGTAGAAAATCAACAAGATAAACAAACCTCTATCCAAACTAAAAGGCAGAGAGAGAACATTCAAATTAACAAAATCAGAAATGAAAAGGGGGACATAACAACAGACACTGAGGAAATCCAGAGAATCTTCAGGTCATACTTTGAAAATCTGTACTCCGCAAAATTCGAAACTTTAAAAGACATTTCTGGATAGATATCACTTACCAAAATTAAATCAAGAGCAGATAAGCAATCTAAACAGACCTATAACCCCTAATGAAATAGAAACAGTTATCAAAAGTCTCCCAACCAAATAAAGCCCAGGCCCAGATGGCTTCAGGGCAGAATTCTACCAGAAATTCAAAGAATTACTAATTCCAATACTCCTCAAAGTATTCCACGAAATAGAAGCAGGAGGTTCATTGGCAAACTCTTTTTACGGCTACAATTACCTTGGTACCCAAGCCACACAAAGACACAACTAAGAAAGAGAACTACAGACCAATCTCCCTCCTGAACATTGATACAAAAATACTCAATAAAATATTAGCAAATCGAATCCAAGAACACATCAGAAAAATCATCCACCATGATTTCATCCCAGGGTTGCAGGGATGGTTCAACATACAAAAATCTAGCAATGTAATTCACCATATAAACAAACTGCGAAAGGAAAACCACATGATCATCTCACTTGATGCAGAAAAAGTCTTTGACAAAATCCAACACCTCTTCATGATAAAGGTCATGGAGACATTAGGGATAACAGGACCATACCTGAACATAATAAAAGCAATATACAGTAAACCAACAGCTAACATCAAACTAAATGAAGAGAAACTCAATGCAATTCCTCAGGAACACTCAGGAACAAGACAAGGCTGTCCACTCTCTTCATATCTCTTCAATATTGTACTTGAAGTTCTAGCTAGAGCAATAAGAAAAGAAAAAGGAGATCAAGGGGATACAAATTGAAAAGGAAGGAGTCAAACTTTCACTATTTGCAGATGATATGATAGTTTACATAAGTGACCCAAAAAACTCTACAAGGGAAATCCTAGAGCTGATAAACACCTTCAGCAAAGTGGCAAGATACAAGGTGAACTCAAAATAATCAATAGCACTATTATATACAGACGATAAATGGTCTGAGGAAGAAATCAGAGAAACATCACCCTTTACAATAGCCCCAAACAACATAAAATAATTTGGGATAATGCTATCTAAACAAGTAAAAGACCATAACAGCAAGAACTTTGAGTCTTTAAAGAAAGAAATTAAAGAAGATACCAGAAAATGGAAAGATCTCCCATGCTCTTGGATAGGTAGGATCCACGTAGTAAAAATGGCAATCTTGCCTAAAGCAATCTACAGATTTAATGCAATCCCCATCAAAATACCAGCATAATTCTTCACAGACATTGAAAGAACAATACTCAACTTTATATGGAAAAACAAAAGACCCAGGATAGTCAAAACAACCCTGTACAATAAAGGAACTTCCAAAAGCATCATCATCCTTGACTTCAAGCTCTATTATAGAGCTTAGTCCTGAAAACAGTTTGGTATTGGCACAAAAATAGACAGGTAGACCAATGGAATCAAATTGAAAACCCACACTAACCCACACACCTACGAACATTTGATTTTTGATAAAGAAGCTAAAATTATACATTGGAAAAAACACAGTATCTTCAACAAATGGTGCTGGCATAACTGGAGGCTGGCATATAGAAGACTGCAGATAGATCCATGTCTATCACCTTGCAAAAAACTTAAGTCCAAATGGATCAAAGACCCCAACATAAATCCAGCCACACTGAACCTCTTAGAAGAGAAAGTGGGAGGCACCCTTGAACTTATTGGTACAGGAGACTGCTTTCGGAACATAACACCAGTAGCACTGACACTGAGATCGACAATTAATAAATGGGACCTCCTGAAACTGAGAAGCTTCTGTAAGACAAAGGACACAGTCAATAATACAAAAAGGCTGCCCACAGAATGGGAAAAGATATTCACTAACCCCACATCTGACAGAGGGCTGATATCCAAAAGTTACAAAGAACTCAAGAAGCAAATCTCCAAAACACCACAGGATCCAATTAAAAAGTGGGCTACAGAACTAAATAGAAAATTCTCAATAGAGGAGTTTAAAATGGCTGAGAGACACTTGAGAAAGTGTTCAACGTCCTTAGTCATTGGGGAAATGCAAATCAAAACAACTCTGAGAAACCATCTTACTCCTGTCAGAATGGCTAAAATCACAATCATCAATGACAATTTATGCTGGAGAGGATGTGGAGAGAGGGGAACACTCCTCCACTGCTGGTGGGAGTGCCAACTCGTACACCCACTTTGGAAATCAGTATGGAGATTCCTCAGGAAAATGGGAATCAATCTACCACAATACCCAGCAATTCCACTCTTAGGCATATATCCAAAAGATGCAAATTCATACAACAAGGACATCTGCTCCACTATGTTCATAGCACCATTATTTGTAATAGCCAGAACCTGGAAGCAACCTAGATGCCCCTCAACTGAAGAGTGGATAGAGAAAATGTGGTACATTTACAGCAGAAAAAAACAATGGAATCTTGAAATTTTCTAGCAAATGGGTGGCACTAGAAGAAACCACCTGAGTGAGGTAACCCAGTCACAAAAAGACAAGCATGGTATGTACTACTCATAAATGGATTTTAGGCATGAAACAGAGGAGTGCCAGCCTGCAATCTCACTGCCAGAGAGTCTGGGAAACAGGGAGGAACCTAAGAGAGATATGCATGGTACCCCAGAGAAGGGGAATGGGACAGGATCTCCTGAGTGGATTGGGAGCACAGTGGAGGGGGGTGAGGAAGCTGGGAGAAAGAGAGGGGTGAAGAGGAGGGGAGTGGAGAACATGGGGAAACAGTAAAGTTGAGTTGGGGGAAGAGTAGAGGAGAGCAGGATAAGAGATACCATAATAGAAGGAGCCATTATAGGTTTGAAGTGAAATCTGGTACTAGTGAGATATCCAGAGATCTACAAGGATAACACCAACTAGCAATCTAACCAATAGTGGAGAGACTTGATGACTTCCTTGTGTGCCATCCTAAAGCCTTCCTCCAGTGGCTGAAGGAAGCAGAGGCAGACACCCACAGCTAAACACTGAACTGAACTCCTAGAACCCAGTTGCAGAGAGGAAGGAGTGATGAGCAAAGAGGTTAAGACTTGGCAGGTGAAACCCACAGAAACAGCTGACTTGAACAAGGGGGAGCTCATGGACCCCAGACTGATAGCTGAGAGGCCAGCATGGGACTAATCCAGACCCCCTGAATGTGAGTGTTTGTGAGGAGACCTCAGCATTCATTGGAGCCTCGGGCAATAGATCAGCATTTAGCCCTGTCATCCAGATGGACTTTGGGAGCCCATTCCATGTGGAGGGATGCTTTCTCTGCCTAGACACATGGGGAAGGGCCTAGGCCCTTCCTGGGATCATATGACAGACTTTCAAGATTCCCCCATGAAGGGACTCACCCTCGTTGGAGAGCAGAGTGGGGATTCAGTGAGGGGCTGGGGGAGGGCTGAAGAGAGGCAGGAGAGGAGGGAGGAAGAGGGAGCTAGGAATGACATGTGAAACAAGCTTGTTTGTAATTTAAATTAAAAACTACGCTGGTGAAATAAAATAAAATAAAATAAAAATAGGTACCCCCTGCTGAAAGTCACCAGGAGAACACACTACTATATCTCAAACATTTAATGCCTCATTTCTTCCTTTATAACAAAATACCTCAGCTTCCATGTTAGCGACTTACTGCATGCAGTCTCCCAACAAAGAAAATCAAACTCCATTTTTCCTTTCTGTAAAGACACCACATGTTGCTCATACCATGACATAATTATCTCTGTCTTCTCTTCTTTCTTCCACCATCCTCTCCATACCTCCACACCCCCAGGGATTTTCTCAGCCTTCCCCCACCCCTGCTCCCTTACCTACAGCTGTAATACGTAATTTCTGGCTGTGTTCTTCTTTGTAGTGCCCAAGGCTCAGAACTGAAATCTTCAGCCCGGGCCACAGCAGTGTCATGTCCTCATCTTACGGCTGACTATAGATGGTTCTCCCTGCCTCTGTTTTGTACATCATTGCTACTCGATCTTTAGTTAACATTTGGTACT